CAACGCCGTGCGATGGGCAGGGGTCCTATCCGACCCATTAGAGTTAGGGTTTTAGGATGACACGGGGGGGATTAAGCTCATCTACGCTCTTTAACATGTACGTGAATGAACTGATTGTGGAACTCAGTAGCACCAGAGTCGGTTGTTATGTGGATGGGACCAGTGCCAATAACATCAGTTACGCAGACTTCTCAGTGCCACAATCTGTGGTGTCAGAAAACTTATACAGGTATGTGAAAGTTATGCCCAAAAACATGGTTTGATTCAACGCCAAGAAATCGGAGGTCATGGTGTTTGACGCTGCTAGTAGAAGAACCTACAATCTACCACCCGTGACCCTTAGCGATACGACTTTACGAAGAGTTTATACTTAGTAGTCACTTATATAACTTTAGACAATCCGTCTGCTAAGCGAGGAGACGGATTGTCTTGGCTCATAAAAAAAGTCTTGAAACTAAAGCAAAAATATAATTCACGTTTCGAAAAGAGCTTTTTAACCGTCTGCTAATAAAAAAAAGACACTCCAAATTGTTGCCTTTGTAGATACTTAATATTCTCTGTATGCCCTCATTTATTTTCCGAAAATACAGTGTTTTTAGAATTTAAGTTTACATTCATCAACAAACAAAATTTATTGAATAAATAAAAAACAAATTGCGAGTCGGACTTGTGCGCTTGTGAGGACTTTGTGTAGCAAAATAAATAAAACAGATTAAGTGAATACAAATCCTTTTAGAACTGAATAGTAGTCGAGTGCTGTGACAAAAAGTACACAGCGGTAGACATCTTCGCAAACATTTTGTATTTCATTAAAAAAAAACTGGCTTTTAGACTGCTAAAGCTGTTAAATCTCGTAGTATTTCTTTTTCACAAAAGTTTTAAATGCCACAAGTAAAAATGTTTGGCACTTTATGGACGGAGTCAATATAGGAATGTAAGGTTGCGTGCGCGTTGGCCGGAACTCCCCCGTGGGATTTGGAGGCGGAAGTGCTCGCCGAAGTTTATCGGCGAGTGGCTGACTCCCGGGCGGAGAGCGGATTTCGCCCTCCGCCCGAAGACGTGCGCGAGTGGCGCGAAGCCGCTCGCCGAGCCACGATGGCTCGTTGGTCGTTCCGGCTGGAGACTCCACGCGCTGGCTTCGCCGCCGTGGAGGCTCTCCAGCCGGTCATCGCCGAGTGGGCAGGGCGGCAGCACGGGACCCTTACCTTCCGGCTGACGCAGGTGCTTTCCGGGCACGGTTGCTTCGGAAAGTACCTGCACTCGGTCGCTAGGAGGGAACTGAGTCCCGCCTGCCACCACTGCGACTGCAGTGAGGACTCGGCCCAGCACACGCTGGCGGTCTGCCCCGCATGGGCGACGCAGCGCCGGGCCCTCACTGCAGTCATCGGAGTGGATCTCTCGCTACCGGCCGTAGTACGCTCCATGGCCGGTAGCGACAGTTGTTTTACCGCGGTCGCAACCTTCTGCGAGGAAGTAATCTCGCAGAAGGAGGCGGCGGAGAAGGCCCGGGAGGACGACCTCCACTCGGACCCGATCCGCCGCCGGCGAACCGGGCGGCGGAGGCGCGCTTTCCTGCGCCTCATGCCGCCCTGAGTGTGGCCGCGGGTGGACGGGGTGGGTTTCCCCTCCACCCGGAGGGGAGGCGTGTGCCGGACGTCGCCTAAATAGAGGTTGAACTTTTGAGACGGAGCCCGCACCAGGAGCGGGCAGGCGCTAGGAGGGGTCCGGATGTCTTAATAACAGCTGTTCCCGGATCCCTCCAGAGGCGCAGAGTGGCACACCGTGTGGTTTTAGTCGGTCCGAGTCCGACACACCACCCCGCCGCAAACCCCGGTGGGGTGACGGTCCGAGGGGATTTCCACACGTTAAAAAAAAAAAAAAAAGGAATGAAACATTTACATGAAACTTTGAAGCCGACACATTAACAAGTGCGCTTTAGAGTAGCCATAAGACGGCTTGAAACGGGAATACGACATTTTCCTGCGTGCACTCATCTGATGGCAGGGAAACAAGTTCACCAACACACGGTGTATACTCACTTACTCACCAACTTTCGATTTTTAAATTTTACGTCGAAATTAAATGTTTAAAATTTAATAAATTAATGTAATAATAGTAAGTTACTATCAACAAAAATAATTATGAACTTTAGAATTAGGAAAAACGTCCATGAATTACTAACCACTAAATAACAGGACCTATTCCTGTTATTTAGTGGTTAGTAATTCTGTTTGCCAAGCCAGAAATGGTGAGATAGATTCCTTTGCAAGACAAAATACTCGTGTAATGAGCACGATCATTTGTTATGTCTGACTGTTTCTCTATCCGTCTGTCTGTTTGTCTATTACCTCTTACGATTAAACCGTTGAACCGATTTGGATGTAATTTCTTATGGAGATAGTTTGAGTTCCGGGAAAGGACATAAGATGGTTTTAATCCCGATATCTTCCTATATGTGGGTGAAAAGAGGGGTGGAAGTTGGTATGGGGAATCAATAACCGCTGAACCCATTTAGATGACATTTTGATTCTTGAGGAGGGACATACGCTTTTTAACCCGATAACCGACATACACGCGGGCAGAGCCGGAGGCAAAAGCTAGTTATTTAAATATTCATCAGCAGTCTTGTCATAGTAGTGACTGATGTGAGATAATTTTAGTTATTTAGTTACTATTATAGTACATCTCTTAGCATATCTTGGTTTGGTATTGTCTTTGTTTAACTACTACAGTACCTTACGATGAAAGAGACACAAACTCGATACAGACAGTCCTCAAAATATACACGAGATATTATTGACGGGCCGATTGGTCTAGCGGTTAGTGACCCTGACTGCTAAGCCGGAGGTCGTGGGTTAGATTCCTACCCAGGACAGATATTGTGTAATGAGCACGATCATTTGTTCTATGTCTGGGTGTAATTTACCTGTAATATGTGTGTATTTAGAATAAGTATGTTTATCAGCAGTCTATTTATCATAGTACAGGTTCTGCCTAATTTAAGACTGCACGGATGGCGTAGTGGCTTAAGCGGTCGCCATGCCGCTCACTGATACGGTGAGTGTCGTAAGTCCCCGCATCCCCGCATGCGACGACACTTTGTGTGATCCACAAATTGTTGTTCTGAGTCTGAATGTTCTTTGTGTCCGTTTCATGTATGTTTGTAAAGTCCAAAGAAAAAGTTTGGAATCAGACGGCCATGTGCGAGATGTGTCAAGTTCTGTGTCAAGTTATCATTATTTTCCTACATTTCACATTGTAATCTATAGTAATATTATAAAGCTAAAGAGTTTATTTGTTTACCGAGGAAGACCATAAGCTATATAACATCACGCTGCGACCAATAGGAGCTCATCATCAATGAAAAATGCAACAAAAACGGGAGAGACGCGGATTAAGCTGGAACGCATGCAAAGTTCTTTGTACTCGTAGCATTCTCAATGTTTGTCTCATGGAATAGTCCGATGAATCCTTACCCTTCTACCTACCTCCTACCTTAAATCTGCCGAAAAGCGCTATGAAGTAGAGGCTAGGCAAATTTAGTCGAGTTCAAGACATGCTTTTCTTGGTATCTTAAACTGCTTCCAGAGCAGTTTGAACTACTAAAGAACACGTACGAAAAGTTTTTCCAGCCATCTTCTGAATTAATCATAAAAGAATTAATTTACTATTAATTAATATATTCTACTTTACTAAATCTTTTTGCAGACTTTTTTTCTAACCGTACACATGTTCAAACTATTTATTTGAGTATTTAATGTTAAAACATATTTTCAATTAAGGCGGGGATCTAATTAAATCGCAAAACGAGGCTGTTTTCGACTTACACAACTTCGTCGAAGCCTGTAACACATATGATAAGACCATCATAAGCTGACCTATGTCTCCCCTCGGCTAAAACCAACTTACGACTACGACGAAGTAAATTAATGGAGGACAACGGGTCGACTCGCCTGGTTCAGTACGATTTGGTGGGAATACAAACGATCCTACTTAAAAGTTTTATGGGTTCCGTATAAATTCCATTAGCTTTTCATGGTTTTACATTTTAAACAGATGTTTTGTGCAAAATTCACGGCACCATTACGCGTATGCTAATGTTACTTTAGATAAAGCACTTAACAATTCAGATTAGAAATAAATATAAATGTCTATATTTAGATTCAACCGCTGTAATCCATTTTTTATGGTGTGGAGGAACGGGTGTCATATCCCTCCAACACAAAGGGACCTCCAACCAGGCGAGGTGATCATGTCTGGAGTTGATGAACGGAACGGTAGTGTTGGGAAATTGTAAATATGCTAATCGGCTTCAGAATTATTTATATCGCGATAAAGGATTAGCAGTTACTCCGTAGTTCGGTGTGTCTTTATTAGATGGCGCTGTAGTATGTTTTTGCTTTCACTCTATGTGGAAGTCGCCACAATGGTGTAAGGAGCAAACGGGCAGGGCGGTAACGGTAACAGTGTCGCGAGTTCAATGATTTTTTCCCATCTCAAAAAATACATTATTTTGTTTGCTGTTCAAAATGCCCAACGCGCCTAAAGAAGTTTTCGCTTCAAAAGTTGTTGCAGTAAACAAACTCACTTTCACATTTTTATTCATAAGTATGGGTTTAAAATTCGAATTACTTTGAACAACGTTTAATTAAAGGTTACGAATATGTCAAAAGGAATTGGTTTATATACACTTTGCGCATATGCACATCCGTATTTATGCAGAAACATACACACTAACGGAACACGTCTATATGTACTGACAAAACACACATAAGAACTCTACATAAGGCATTGTTATAACCTTTTAACATATGTATTGTCTAGAAGTGATAGTTCAAGTGACAGATACTTTGAATTTGAATTCTCCGAGAAAAGAATTCTCACACAATTAATGTTTATCACGATCTTGTCATTGTACTGGTGGAATCTTACTTTCAAAATAAACAAATCGATGTAAGCCACTAGCGGAATTCTTATTCATTGATTAGTTGTCACTAGCTATGGACGGCAAACAGTGGACAATATTGTGTTTAATCCTTCTTCCAGTTTTCATCGTAAGATTTTTTAAGTTACCTTTAAACTACCTCTAGTTTAAATATTTTAAGTTTACAATGAAAATAACGCCCCTGGTGATAACGTGATGAGTGTCCATTTTATTCATAGACGTAAACAGTAACAGATCTTTTTAATAATGTGCAAAATATGTATATTCTATCCCGATCTGATTAATAAGTTTAAATTAAGTTTATACTCACATTTTTTTTAAAACGAACTGTCCTGTCAAACTAATATTTATTTAAACAGTAACTAAAATTATTAAGGTTTAGTACGTTCGAAGTGGAATCGTAGGACTTGCCGCATTCTAAAAACCTAGACTTAGTTACAATATTACCGGTCAAATTCCTTAAATAAAATTACCAAAATTTTCCTAAAGTAGTCTGACTGTATTAAAACTAAATATTGTCAAAAAGATGTTTTTAATATCTCTAATATCTCATCAGAGATCCTAAAGAACATATGTTAACAGCTTGACTGTATCTTGTACAGGAGGCCTGGTCTTCACGATCTTCGCGGGAGGACAAAAGAGAACCAAGAGATTTACCAGATAAGAGAGACCTAAGACGACACTATCATTCTAAACGACATATGCAGATAGAAAATGAGCCCAAGATGAAAAGAATCACCACTCAGAAGCCTTCAAGAGACCTAAGAAAAAAGGTACGTATCAAAAAAACATTTCTCTTAAAAGTAATCATCACTTTAAAGCGCCTAAATCATAACCTGCGCCTAATAATATTATTTTACTCAAATTCTGACACACCATTGATTGACACGAATAAAGACCCAAAGAAAATAGTAAAATATTTGTCTATGAAACTGCTTGAGTCACTTGTAAATTAAATAAGAATAAGGTGCAAACACGGTTTCAATTACAATAAAACACACTTACATAAATAACTTACTACTGTTCCTGTAGCCTTCAGGTCATTTGGCACCGCTTGAAGAAGACGATATGGATAACGATGAAGTAATATCTGTTGCGATCGGCCCTCCCCCCATTCGTCCCAAGTATGACAAAGTCCATTGGAAACATCCACCCAAGCCAACCAATACGCCCAACGTCACCAATGCAACAGCCACAAACCTCATCAAAGACATTCTTACCGAACTTGGAAGAGAATTAATTTCAAGACACGTCAGCGAAGATTTTATCTTTGGTCAGTATATAGGTAATTCCATGAAGAATTTGACAGCTGAAATAAAATTAAAATTGCAACACGAAGTTCTAGATCTGATAGTGAAATATCAAAAGATAAGCAATGGTGAAGCCGCGAAACATCCTGAAGAAAAGCCCACTAGTTCAAGTCCTCTAGCGGCAATTAATCAAATTAATAGTATAAAAGATTTAAAAACCGAAAAGAAATTTACAGCAGCAAATGAAACGGAAGATACATGGCCTGATTTTTCAAACCTAAAATTATGAGTCAATAATTTTTCCAATTATACTTTAAGGTCTGACTGTCACAGACTATTTTTTCCTAAAGCAACTCCAAACTTGCACAATATACCTATTTAAAATACTGTTTTGTTATATCTTTAATATTCTTATATTATATATTTAAATATAACTAAAAAATATAGACATCGGTTTTCATTCATAATTTATTTTAAATTACCGTAACATATTCTCACTTCTATTTTAAAGTTCAGTCGCAAAGCTATTCAAGTTCCCCTGGCAATAAGGTTTTTCTTTGTATTTGTTATCATCTTCCTACTCTTTTCTCAAATTTGTCCCATATAACGTCGGTGCAATCCGTGTGGTGACGGATTAATAATACAGAGTGTCACCACCCCTATTCATTCCGTGGGTGTCATAAGAGCCGACTAAGGGAAAAAACTAGGCATAACAACAGCACTGCCGAGAGAAGGAAAACTTGACACAAACCCTATACCCGTTCAGCCAGCGATCTTAGAATAATAGTCATATGAAATTTCCATACCGGCCAATTCGTGCCGTTCAATTTTATTAACTGTGTACCTGACTCTCCATTTCTGTTATTTCTCCCCTGAATTACTTACAATATTGTATATGCGTTCAATCAATCGCCATGTGCCTGGGCCCATAACCTGTTGCACATTTATGTTGTAGTGAAAGTTAAAATAAAATAATATAATAAGTAATCAGTGTTTGTTTAATTCTTCTTTCTCACACAGAAATGTTTTATTACAGTAATTTTACTTTGATGGCACAATAACATTTTTCTCTTTACACATGGACACGTTCTTTCAAAAAAAAATTAAAACAGGAAGGACAACTTATAAAACTAGCTCAGGGTTGCCATAAATACAACTCTTATTTTATTGTTTTCTCAACACTTATGTCCAGCAGTGGACTGTTCAAGGCTGTTGATGGATAAGTTTTCTTCTTCCATTCTTCTCGATGACTCGAAATCTTCTTTCAACACTCTTACATTTCATTGCGCATGATGATTGCATGATTTTGGCTTTTTCTTTTGTGACCAGCGGTCTGCCTGACGCCAAACTTCCTAGGGAATGTAATCGTTCTAGACCCCTTATCAAAATAAAATCCACTGACATTTGAAAAGTCCAAACAACCAGCGATTTCCTGCTGTCAAACTAAACAGCAACAACAAACAACAACTCTTTTTTCATGTATGTATAACCTGCAACTCCCTTAGTTATAAACTACGCAGGACAACAGCACTGCAAAGAGAAGGAAACCTTAAAACAAAACCTATACCAACCCGTCTGGCCAGCGTGGTATAGTAGGCCAAAACCTCCTTTCTAAGGAGAGGCCTTTGTCCAGCAGTAGCCTAGTAAAGGCTGTTGAACATGATAAACCTGCAATAAATCTCGTACAATTAAAATAAGATTGGTTCAAGTAAAATGCAATTCATAGAATCCGAGCCACTGCTCCAACTCTCTTTAATCAGCAAAAACATTCCCTTTTCAAACAAATAACAGCATTTATCTGCACCTGCAAAATGATAACTCATAATAAGAAACGATACACAAATTGAAATACATAAATTTATGGGAAACCTAAGAAATGGATAGACAAATCTTATCAAAGTCAAGTATATTTTTATACTATAGGCAAAGTGCATGCATGTTAATGAATGTCAATTTTTGTCTGAAAATATAATATTTTTTCATAAAAACAAAGATAGCTTTTCGAAAAGAAGTGATTTACATTCTGTAAATATCAGAAATATAAATAAACTTGTTGTACCTGTCTTTGGGCTCCAAAAGATAAACAAGTCATTTCGAGGTCAATGTGTCTGATATTATAATAAAATCCCAAATAATAGACAAAACCTAAGTACAAACAAATTTAAATCTTTAATAAAACGTTCGTCTACGACATAAATTACCTTCGGTCCTCTAGAATAACCTTTATCTTCGTTGCCCCCTCCACTTACGTCTGAGTTCATTGGCGCATCCTTCAGTCCGTTCTTCTTTGGAATTTGCTGCCGCTCGAAATCAGGATATCTACTAACACTTATTCCTTTAAAGGAAAAGTAAAGAAGTTTCTGGTCAAACAACGGGCAGAATCAACCAACTTATGATTATTTAATATAAAATATTTATCAATCAGTATCTGTTTGCATATGTGTTCATATGTTTTTGTGTGGTATTTATGTATTGTAATGTATGTAATTATGTGTAATATGCATGGGTCTAGCATATGTTAGGTCTCTAGAAATGTCATTTTTTTAAATGTATATATTACTAAATTTCTGTTCTGTTTTTAAATTTACAGTAAGTAACCAAAATGTACCTACTTCCTGTTTTCTCTGCATCATCCAAAGGTTGACTGTTAGAGAATGCCTTAGGCATCAAGTCCGTCTATGTGCCAAATGTGCATGATGTATCAATAAATAAATAAAAAAACGTTAATTATGTCATCAAGCCCATTATTCAATTGTAAATTACATAGAAGACAAAAATGCTTGGGATAAATTTAGCACAGGCTATTTTCTAAGTGAAAATATAGTGTGGGCTAGTGTGTTTTTTTATTTTTTCATTGTAATTTCTATTTCAACTTTTTTCTTTATCGTGTTTTCTCTTCATTCCCTTTTCAGCTTTTATTCCTTAATGAAGGACATACTGGCACACATTAAAACAATGTTGTGGTATATTTAATGATGCTATTGTATCTAGCGGTTAATTAAAAAGGAGTGCCCGTGATTTTGTTCGGCCTTTCTTCTTAAAAGGCTCAAGCCTTTGAACGGGAGGTCGTATATCGGCACAGGCATACTCGTATAATAGATTTCCGGTAGGTATCATTTTTATGATATTAATTTTGCTAAATAATTGACAAAATAGAGATTGTCGCTATTGTGTGTGTTGATCTATGACTTTAGAGTCTGCATAAAAGACGATTTCAAAATATTTTTTTTATGAAATACAAATATTATGAGTTTGAAAAAGAATTTATGGACATTATTCAATACAATTCATTACTATTACATACATTATGGAATACAATTCTCAAATTCAAAGGTCAAAGAACATACAGATGAGACAGACAGATCAGATGAGAGTGACAGGTCATAGATTCAATTATCACCTAAGCTGAATAATTGTCCGTGCATATATTTGAGGAAGGTCATTCGTTGTGTCTTGGTTTTAATATTATATGTAGGTATTTTAATTTAATAATATTATAAGTCTAATGTTCAAGTATCTTGACTGCTAAGCAGATGTTGTGACTTCGATTCCTATCGAGGGCAAACATTGTGTGATGAGTATGATCATTTGTTCTATATCTGGGTGTAATTTATCTTTAATGTACATACTTATGCGTTATTATATTTTTTTATATAATATAATAACTCAACTAATTTATATTTCTAAATTTGTTCTTAAAATGATATTATTTAACAACTCATTATAGTTCCAAACCGCGCTACCAGTACAACAATCCGATTTATTGCCTAAATCCCCGGTGACGGAGGCTTAAATCTGAAATTTCGTGTAATCGCAAACCAGCGTTATCTGGTCAAAGTGTTTGACTTTCACCCGAGAGGGTCCCAAACCAAACAGCCCACCTATCCTTGCTTTAGCGTACCAACGAAAATATAGCCATGATGTAATCGTATTTACTGTAATAGGATTAACAGAGATAGTAATGTTGAATGAAATCTACTACTATAAAACCTTTTGGTTCTATTTTCAGGGTACTATTCTTTTGTTTTAGTTCGCTTTGTTTTTGGATTTCATGTGAAATCTAGCCTTTGGTCGTATTTTGTCTGTACAAAGCCTGTGTTAAATAAATTAAAAAGTGTGCTTAGTTGCAATTCACTGATCTGGACTCACAAACAGTGTACAGGTTTAACGTTCGACTTTTAATGGAACAAAAGAAGTTAATTGTGTGTACGAATTTCAAAATAATCTTTTAAATACATTGATTTTAGTCCGAATGGAACTGTTGATGAAAGTACCTATATTCAATAGAACATCGCTGTCCTGCTTTACAGTAGGACCACCATGCCTCTATTGAAAGTGGCAGATTTTTTGTGTAAGCAAAGCTTAAGTGACTTCAATAGTGCTATTAAAGTTTTGCAGTGAGTAAACCAGTACAATACCTGTATAATCCTGAACAACATACTTTACGTTTGTAGAAACACGGTTGTGCAAAATCATATTTTTATTTCTCCAGCTGTCCTTTAACTGCTATTAATACACCGATGCTCTTTTTTTTGTCTTCCCATTTCGCGGTTTATTGATCCCGAATTTCACATAAAGTAAGTGTTTTTAGGACTCCGTACCTCAAAAGAAAAAGTAAAATCTTTATAAGATCACTTTGTTGTGTCTTTCTGATTATGGATTCGTACTTTGTTATATATTCATCAAACTGTGGTTTGAAATTTGATGAGTTGAGATAGAGTTACAAATATATTTTATGGATTTTACGGATCATCTTTTACTCTTATAAAACGGGTATATTATGACAATTTATCTTGTTAAACCCACTTGTATTAGATTTTCATTTAATTCGTAACAAAAGTTAATAAATGAATAAGTTATCTACTCTTTGCATCTATTGTTTGTACAAGAAAGTAAATCTAACTTTGCCTCGTTTCACTTTAACCTTATCCTGGATCGCGCAACAACACTTTTACAGATTATATATATACACACATAAGCTAACGCCTAAAATCTTATAGCTAATATCTTACTAGGGGCAGGCAGATGCATATTAAGCACCAACATTTATTCGACCTATGAAGAAAGAGAGAGAGAAAAGAATGAGATAACGAAATCAGGAGTCAATCAAAAGACAAAGTAGGTAGGGAAGCCATACCCAAGGCATCCCTCTATGGTTATATGGAGAGATTAGAGAGCATCGGCTTGAGCAGGTCAAGGTCGTAAACTTGTAACCCATTTCGCTGTAGGTGGAATATGCAAGCCTTTAACTAAACATACAATGTCAACCGTAGGAGAGAGCCATGATTC